AACACGAACGACAGCAAAGTTGTCATAGGCAAAAAAAATAAAAGCTATTAAATCTGGTGAGATTCCAAAAGTACGTGTCTATCCCTAAACTTCACATGGTTTGCACTATTATATACTAGGTAGCATGAATCATAGATGTTCGAAGTGTAGAGCTCTTATATGGCTTGATGAAAGAATAACTAACATATTTGTAAGATTACTCACTTTCTCTACTTGCTGCGTGAATAGCAAGGTTTCTCTCCTCCTCTTCAGGAGTTACCCCTCCCCTTGATTCCCCTCTTACTGAAACTGATCCATGTTCACGCTCATTTTACTACAATATTCGAATGTACAAATCAGCATTAGCTTTTACATCTATAGAAGCAAAGATTGATCCTAAAATTACTAGAACTAGCAGCATTTACACCTTTTGTATTTATGGTGAAATGTACCATAGAATAGGCACTCTGTTTCCTAATATTGAAACACAACCTTAATTTGCTCAATTATACATCTTCAATACTGATAATGAATTGCAAAATAGGTTAAATATAATGCCCAGACTTGATTCTGCTATTCTTATAGAGCTTCAGCAAATGTTACATGACATTAATTCGTATATTATTGTGTTTCAGCAAGCTGCCAATTTGTTAAGGCATAATCAATCACTAGATTTGAAGTTAATAATCATGGATAACAGAACAAAAGATCCATGACATTATAATGCACCTAATGCATCAGTAGTTGCTATTATTATGGTAAAAGATACACAAGGTGCAGAACAGCTAAATCAGGATATTATGCTGCATATACATGAAGATGGATTGCAATGGATATCTGAATTACATTGCTGTTATACTCCACTTCATTATGTCCTTATGTTTCCTAGAGGTAAGGATGGGTGGCATTCTAATATTCCAGTATGTGATACTTCTAATAATATACAGTATAAGGAGGAATCTGATATAAACAATGAGAATGAAGAACATAAGTCAAATAAATGTGTTACAGCAATGAACTATTTTGCTTATCGTCTTTAGGTTGGTTGTCCTGGTGAAGTATTAACTTTACATTGATATGGGCACCTCTTCCAACAGTGGATTGTTAATATGTATGCAGTAATAGAGCAGACACATCTTAATTAT